ACATAGCTGAAGAGCCAGACTGTGAGTTAAAAGTGATCAAAAGATTCAATTGAAAAGAACAGAGATAGAACAAAGGAAGAGGGAGACGGCAGAAAACAGTGAGAAACAGGAAAGGGGCTAGTGTTCGCTCAGCACATATTTTGATTGTAAAATTCCAATTTATTTTCTTAGTGGTTTACCTCATACATGTAAAAAGACTGTTAAAATATGCTTTAACTTTGAGTTAATATAATTTTCTGATGTTTTTCAATTCAAATTTTTCGGTACAGCTAAAAAGACGCTGAAGATGCCAGCGATCTGTGTTATGCTATGGAGCGTTATATACAGTTGAGCCAAGTAAATTTCCGAAAACAATTTTGCTTAGTAAAAAACTTGCCTGCGATGCGAAAAAAGTTGTTCTTGAGCCACTCCGAAAAACCGAGCCCAACATACCATACTCGTTGTCCATTTCGTGCGTTAATGACTGTATAATTCATTGAATTATTACCAAAAATATAGCAAAAACTCTCACTTTAAAAATATTCGGAAGAGATACTGAAGGAACTACCGTTATTGACTCAATAATATGTGTAATTGATGGTTTTTGCTTCGAGTTACTATCCAGGTTTTTATACACATCTGCTAACTTCGAGTCCAGAACCGTAAGTTCTTCAAAAAGCGGTTTCCGTTCTGTCCATACTCTTAGTTCATGAGCTAATTCAGGTACCACAAGAAAAGTTCGCCAACCACGTGCCTGAAATACAAAATTCCGACCAAAAACACACGGCTGAGCTTCAAAAGTAGCTCCATGAAGATTTTCGCGGTATACTTTATTTTGCTAGTCGCTGATAACGCACTGGACTGGAAAGAAAGGATAAAAAACAATCCTGAATTTTCGCTACGCAAAGGTGCCAATATTTGCATGATAAATAACAGCATATGAGTCTGCAACCTTAACGGTCAAGCTCAGCACTCGGTCTCTGAGTGATCTGTCTTGTATAATCCACTCCTGAGCTAAGCATCTTCGCAAGGTACCACGGCCAACACAGCGCATATCGTTATTTACCTGTGGCATTTATAATATTCGAAAGAAGGAAAACTTATACGCCGTTTGATTACGCACCTTCTTTGACCTCAAAACGTCACCGAAAATATGATCACCAATATATAAAACGTCTTTGCCACGAGCTTTCACCAGCCCTCTGAATGCATCACAGGACCCTGAAAAAAGCTGGTGGTACAACGAAAATTTTAATTATGACAGTATACAACACATAAGAACTATCAATAATGATGAGACAAAGAAGCTACCAGAAAATTAAATATAACAATACTAAATACTTCACTGAATAAATCTGAAGCAACCTGGAGCAAGGCAAATCCGGAATGATGCTAACTAGCATTATCAGTATTCACAAACCAAGAGCATCAGCCAGTCTGACTAAAAACATCAGAAAAAAAAAGGGTAAAAACAAACCTCCAGCATAGACCTGTCCTTGTTTAAGAGGGCCCACATGCGTGCCGATTTTGAGTGCGCCTGTTTCGGTATCCACTTCACGAAAAACAGTACCTTCAGCAAACCATTTTGGCTTTCTGGCATCGACAATAGTTATATTGAAATACGATTTCCAATCTTTGCCGACTAAATAGTTCATCACTGCCTGCAGCAGAAGTAAACGGTCAGCGAGATACTTCCAAGCGCCTCCTTCAGTTGAAGTTAATGTCTGTTGTTTCCGTTAGAGATTTTTCGTATTCGTGTACTGCCGCTTTTAATGCGATGAGGCAAAACAGCTGGTTATGATCCCTCTGTTTTGACACCCAATGGACACTGACAATGATGCAGAGCATGCGCCAACCCTAACATTTTTCGTAATATGACTTCCGCTAAAAACTGTGATGCATTTTCATTTCCAGGTTTGGTCAGGCGTATATGCGCGTTCCTTCTAAGTTCATGCCATCTAACTGCAAGATGGCTTTAAAGCATGCCGAGATGCCACACCGATTCCATTGGTTTTCTTCTACTAGTTCCTTAGAAACTCCTACAGCACATCGCCCGCAGTCGCTGCTGATGATGATTATATCAGGCCTAAGTTTACTGATGCTTCTCAACTTCTTTTTCCGTCCATTTTACGAAACACATATTAAAGATTTGGGCTACCATACAGTCTCACGCCTTCCTTAATTGGTACGTGAATTAATTTAGCACATTTTGTCGGCTGAACAGCCCGTGTTCGCATTACTAAAACATCCGACAGTTAACTGATGAGCGTTAGGAAGAACAAGGTAAACGGTACCAAACAAAATGAAAAATTAGCATTACAACAACACGGGAAATGAAAAACTCACGTTTGTGTAGGAGTAGTCACTGTTTGTGAGAAGGAAAGACTGCTTTCCACTTTCCTGGATGCGCACAAGCAACTGTCTGAGCCGTTCGTCTTTAATTATGTACTGCTCTTTTTTATCCAGAATGATCTGTTTCATGTCACTCTGCATAATATCATAAGTTTAGTATGAGTCATACAAAATAGTAAATACGATCCAGAAAAAATAAATACCGGGCAAAAAAACAGGTTTACGCAAAGTTTCTCAGAAAGACACCTAGGATACCAGAAAGAGCTGCTAATGCATACCTATTATAATCTGGTGCGTTTCGCATTCATACCATTCCATACATCCAAATTTTAAAGAGCCAGCCCAACCAACCGACGCCCTTCCTACCGCTCTTTCAACACAATGTAGTTATTTACGAAATTTTTTGAGCAAGTGAACAGTTTGGAAATGCGAGCTCACGCCTAGAGTTCCAGACGCACCACTTAACGAGCACAGCACATGCGGTTACAAATAATTAACCAGAATTGTTGAGGTACCGTCACCGGCCATACAATCTTTTTTTTTCATGGCTATTCATATTTTAGTTTGGCATCCCAAAAAGAATAGAACCGTGCAGGTCGAAAGAAAAAT